ACCCCAGGGGTTGGCACAGGGCAGTTTCCTGAACACAGGGACAAACCCACTGGGAGTTACAGGGATATCTGCAAACCCCATGTGCCATGGGGGGTGCAAGTGGTGTTGGGAAGGGAAAGGAGGAGAACAATGTGAGAGCAGGAGTTAGAGGAGCAGCCCCAATGCTCCCAGCTCCCAGCCCTTGCCCAGCCCAGCAAAGCCCAAGCAAACCCAGCCTGGAACTCTCAGCCCCATCTTCCCAGCTCAGGAGCTCTGTCAGAGAGAACAGGTCGGGCTGGGCGATTGTTCTTGGGCACTGGTCATGCTGGAGCACTGCCTGGGCTGGAGGATTTGAGGAGGAAGGCTGGAACGAGCAGTGCCCAGAGAAGGATCTGGAAAGCAGCGCCCTGAGTTCGACCAGCACTCCACCCAGACCTGACTGTCGTCAATGGGCATGATTGGATGTTGCACCCACATCAATATGTATGTTGAGATGTTGTGATCATGGAGTCAGACTGGATAAATTACCCTGGTTTGCATGGGTGCCTTCGGGCAAGTTTGTCCAGCCGAGCTGGGCTCGCTCCCAGCATTGGAGAAATAAACACCTTTGCTGCTTTGATCAAAAAATTCTCTGAGCAGTTCACATGCTGAGGTTTTTCAGTATCACCCTTGATGTCACCGCTGTCCCTGCGATGTCACCACTCTCCCCAGGGGTGGCACTGGTGTCCCTTATTGTCACTGCTGTCCCCAGTGATGTCACTGGGCTGCTGCTGATGTCACCAGTCCCTGTGATGTCACAAGTGTCCTTGTGATGTCACCGCTGTCCCCAGAGTGTCACCTGTGTCCTGAGGGTGGTACTGCTGTCTCTGTGATGTCACTGGTCCCCAATGATGTCACCATGTTCCCTGTGATGTCACCAACATCCCTAATGATATTACCACTGTCCCTTTGATGTCATCACTGTCCCTGTGGTGTCACCAGACACCTGTGATGTCACTGATCTCCAGTGATGTCACTGCTGTCCCCAGGGGTGGTCCCTGTGTCCCCAGTGATGCCACTGCTGTCCCTGTGATTTCAGCACTGTCCCCTGTGATGTCACCAGTGTCCCCGATGATGTCACTGGTGTCCCTGTGATGGCACCACTGTCCTTATGAAGTCACCTGTAGTCGTCCAAACCAAGCTGTCAGTAGAAAGGAGCTTGCAGGGTTTGAGTGGCAAACCTTGGAAAGCAGAGGCTGACAAACATGCTGTGATCTAAGAAGCTGGACCCCTGTCATAGGATCTGTCAAAGTACAACCTTATGGACCGAACTGGCTGCAGCAGAATCAAGAAAGGACTTCTTGAGGTTATGTTATTAAACAATGTCTAAAACTCCTTAATTCCTTTGATCCTGCTTGAAGAAAAATTTACCTATTTGGGAACTGAAGGAAAAACTTGTGTAACTTCCTAATTATCATAACCCATCCTGCAATTAACACATCGAGTCCCCAAGACCCTTAAAAATGTGTTTTCTATCCAATAAAGCATTTGAGTTCTACCCCATACTGGGAACGTGTTAATTTGGGTTTTTAGACTGACACATCTTCGTCCATATGGAATCCAACACGTAAACTCAATAAACCCCCTAAACATAAACCTAACCCTAAACCCTAACCCCTAATTGAAACCCTGTCCCTTACCCTAACCCAAACTTTACCTAAGCCCTAACTCTAACCCTAACCCTAACCTAACCTTAACCCTAACCCTAACCCTAATCCTAACCTTAACCCTAACACTAATCCCAACCTTAACCCTAACCCAAACCCTAACCCTAACACTAATCCTAATCCTAATCTTAACCCTAACCCTAACCCTAACCCTAACCCTAACCCTAACCCTAACCCTAACCCTTACCCTAAATCATAACCCCTAACACCAATCCTAACCCTGCCTCACCCTCTCTCCAGTGCAGTTGCTTCACCAGTCTCGGCACTACACAAAGAGTAAGAGCTTTCTGTGGGGGCCCCTTTGGTCTGGGAGGTCCCTTCGTCCATGGGCAATGTTGGCTGTCGGACAGGCAATTCCAGCCCAGTGTTCCTGCAAGGGAACAACTGTTGTTCCACCCACGAAAGCAAGACCTGAGCCTTGTAAGGGGGATACTTTTGATTTAGATGATCAGTGGAGCACAGAGGGGTGAGAAAGTGATTATATTCGCATGTGAACACAGCCAGAGTATTGTACAATGTGACTTTGTTGCACAAGTTCACTGTAGGGCCCACTGTGTCTATAGCAATTTTAATTGCATATCCCCCATTATCAGAGCTGAATTCCTCCTTGGTTTGGCTCCACTCTGCAAGAGAGATACAAATCCCCTTGAAACACAATGGTACAAGTCATCCAAAGGACTGAGGAAGGTGATGGAGAGGAAGATGATGTGGGCAGGGGTCGTTGGCCCCTTGCCCTACAGTGGGGCACGCCCAGACTGTTGCCATGAGGTGATGAACGGGCGCTGTTTGGCTGCCACTCAAGCACCACCTTCTGCTGCATCCTGGCCCTACGCAGTGTAATGTAGAGCTGATGGAATGGGGTGTCAGCACTGCTGGGTGGAGCGATGCTCATCCTTCCATCCACACTGTGCTGCTCCGCGGGGACACCCGCCAAGCACGGGCACCGACCAGCCCTGCAGAGCCTGGTAGGCCTGGCCTGTCTGTGCAGGTGAGCACAGTTTATTGATAGGAAGCAACAGGGAAAGCAAACATTTTATATCCTTTTTGTGTCCCTTTAATTCCCTTTTTACTAGCTAATACTGTAATAAAAGATGTTCGTAGTATTGTATGAAAACCAACTGATAAAGTAGTGTTTTTGTATTCTTTTTTAGCTTTTGATTCGCTTTGCTAGGAGTTTTTTTACACTCACTGCAATAAAAATTTTTTTGTAGTGTTTGAATGACTGTTCTTCTTGTCTCTGTTCCAGCCATGGATCCTGAGGAAGAGATACAGGGGGTCCCCAGGAGGGGGTTTGGGAGGGCTGGGGGAGTCCCAGGAGATTTAGGGGGATGGAGGGGGGGAGGTTGGGGAACTCACAGGATACTTGGGGGAACGGGAAGGACTGAGGTGAGACCTCAAGGAGGGGGGTGGGGAGGAGCCAGGAATCGTAGAGGGGTTTTTAGGGGATCCCCAGGACTCTTGGGAATTTGGGGGGTCACCAGGAGCCCCGGGGCCCCTTCCGAACTCACCCAACACCACCATGGCCTCATTGGGACCATACGTGAAGAACCTCGTGGCCGGAGGAGACCCCAGATCACGATCGATCCCAACTGATCGTGATCGATCGGGATCTGCCCCCCCGCGAGCACCGCCCCACTCCCGGCAGCCCCCGCGCTTCTGCCTGACGACCGGTGATGTCACGGAACTCGCGATGCTCTATTGGATGAGTCTCACAGGGGCGGGAGAAGGGGCGGGCATATTCTGCCTGGAAACCAGTGACGTCATTGAAACAGCATCATCCTATTGGCTGCGACGCTCGAGAGAACCCCAAAACCTGTTCATGGCTTGGGGGGAAAAGAAGAGCCAGGATGGTCGGGAACGGGGGAGCAGGGGGTTCCAGTGCCCAGGAAAGGGGCAAAAAACTTTCCCCTCTCTCTCCCAGTGCCCCCCAGCCCATCTCAATCTCCCTTCTCTCCCAGGGGAAGGGACTGGGGAAGAGTTTGGGGGAGTCCTAGAGGGGAAGGGAGCAACTAGGAGAGAGTTAGAAGGGTCCTGGGAAGGCTGGAGGGGACTGGGAAGGGTTTGGGTGGTGTCTTGTGGACTTTTGTGGGTCTGGGAGGCAGTTTGGGGGCCCTCAGAGGGTTGGGGGGAGGACGTTGGGAGTGTCCTGTGTGCCTGGGAGGGGATTTGAGAGCTCCTGGCGGGGCTGGGACAGGGTTTGGGGGAGTCCTGGATGGGCTGTAAAGGGGTTAGGGAGGTCTGGGGGGCGTTTGTAAGACTGGGAGGGGGTTTGGGGGACGCCACGGTGAGAATTTTTGGGGTGTCCTGACCCCTCCAGGCCCTCCTCGAGCCTCTGACAGACGCCGCCCCCCCAAGATGCTGACAGGGGTAGGGGCTCTGTGTTGGGTTCATCCTTCTGGGCTGGAGCTTGGCTTCCACCTGCGGAAGGAGGTGAGGGGGCATCAGGACCAGCCGGGCCCCGCCCCCCCATCCCCCTGCTGATTCCGGGGGGGTTGTGTGTCTCCCCTCCCCCACTGTCACTCTGCCCCCGCCCAGCTACTCCCAGTGTTCCCAGTAAAGCTTCCCAGTTCTCACGGTCCCGGTTTTTGGGGAGGGGGCACTGAGGGGGCTTGGGGGAATCAGCCACAGAAGGACCCGAAGCATTTTTTAACCAATGGGAGCGCGCGGAGCTGATGACTCATCAGTTGCCAGGCAGCTCCCAGCGCTCCCCGCCTCACCCCGTTCCACCCCCCCCCGCGGGTCACGTGGCGTCGAACCCTCCCCACGCGCTCCTCGCCCCATGGGCTGGGCGCGCGCAGCCAATGGGAGGACGCGGAGTGGGCGGGGCGAGGCGGGGATTGGTCGGACAGTGGAGGGGCGGGGCCAAGAGCCGGGGCCGGCCCCGGCCGAGGTGCCCTCGGTCAGTTGGGAGTTGGGAGCGGCCGCGGCCGGACGGGCACAGAGAGCGGCCCCGGGGAGAGACCCCGGAGGAGGGACCCACAGGGAGCGACCCCCAGGGAGCCACCGCCGCCAAGGGCCCCCCGGGGGAGCTCTCGCCCGAGCGGGGCCGGAGCGGGGCCGGCCGGGGGGCACAGGGGAGCCGGGAACCGCCTCCTCCTCAGGCGGCTGCTGGGAAGGAGCCTGCGCTGGCAGGAGCGAAGGGGCTCGGGCTGAGGCCGGGCAGGGCCAGGGCAGGGATCGGAAGAGTTGTTTGCACCCACAGGGCGCTCGGGCGCTGCAAGAGCTCGCCCAGGTGGAGTCGCCGTCCCTGGAGGTGTTTCAGCGGCGTCTGGAGCTGGCCATGAGTGACGCGGTTCAGTGGTTTGGGGGATGGAATCGTGGGATGTGCTGAGCTGGGAGGGACCCCTCAGAACCTTCGAGTCCAGCTCCTGATTTGTAAAAACTAATGGAATGGGGATCAAACTATTGGGCTCCAAAAGGTCTTCTACCCCTACTCTACAAAATGCAGGCCTGTGTTCCCCACGGAGGGAAGGCTGGCAGTTATCAATGGGAACAACAAAGAAAAGCTCAGAGCTTTTATTTATTCATGGTCACCACATAAAACTAACCCTCTGTTCATGACTGTGTAGAACTGTCATCAAGTCCAAACTTTCTGGTGTAAACATCAGTATATTTGGATGCAATATTTGCATGCTGTGCTTCTGTGGCACCAAGTGGATTTAAAAGGTTGTAACACTTTATGAGATCACCTTTACGCTTGTGGGTTATATTTTTTAAAAAAATAGTGAAAAGCCATTTATTACAGAAGACAACAATGAAAGAACTCCTATTTAACAAAATATAAAGTAGGACATCAATCAGGGCAAATGTACAATTGTAAATAAAAATCATTACAACTCATTCAACTGTTTGCACACTCAAAGGATATGTTTGAAAATTCTGCCTCAGAAATAAATAAATAAAATTTCAGAGGCAGTTTGTTACAACTGTTTCAAAGTTTCCAATAAAATTCACCACTCTTGAAATGCAAAGTCTGAAAAATGAAACAAGAGTGCCGTTGGAATTCTGGTTGCCAGCTCTGATCTCTACAGGAGTTATTCCAGAGTGTAACAAAAGCAGCAACAGAAATAACCTTTGGCATTAGAGCACCGTCCTGCATTAATTGGTCCTGCCAACAGAGCTTTGCTTTTGAACCCCTCTGATAATGAAACCTTGCCAGAACTGTGAGATTATAATGTTGATTTTCTTAAGAAGTTGTGAGTCCTTAACCCAGCATCTCCAGGTGAGCCCCTGCAATAGGAGAGTCCTGTTCCTGCCGTCAGTGGAGAGGAGGGATCAGGTGAGCTGAGCAGGCTGCAAGGGCTTGGATTTCTGCAGGGCTGGGATGTTTTCATGGGTGGACTTCTTCAAATGTGTTTGAGGGAGAAACAGTATTTTCTGTTTTATCAGCTTTCCAGTTTCAGAATGTTGCAATTTATCCCTAAAATCCAATATGGAGTTTCGAAAGATAAAAGTCCTGATCCTGAATCTTTCAGCCTCACCAGCCAATTGCAACTCGCCCAGGGAAGTTCAGAAGTGGAACCATCCATGAAATGCCCCCTTCTGTCCCAGAGATCCCCCAGAGATTCAGCTTCAGTGCCAAACCCCAGGGAGTGTCAGCTGCCACAAAACTGATGTTTGAGTTAGGTGGGTTCCATCTCATGTTCTTTGGGGTAGCTGGCACATCTGGAGCAAGGGGGGTGGGCAAAGGTGTGTGATTGCCAAGGTCCAACACGGGCAGTGTCCCACCAGCAGCAGTTTCTCTGCTGAAGGAAGGCAATGAGTTGCAGAACTAATTGGTGAATTTTTTTTTCCTTTTGCATCTCTTGTAAATAATAAGGTATGTATTAGATAATGTATCTTAAATTTCCAGTTAGCAAAAAGTGTAATGGATTGCTTTGATATGAGTGTTTTGATTATGTTTTTGCTTATAGAAGTCCCTAAGGAATTGGTAAGGATTTTTTCCCTCCTCTCCTCCCCCCCAGTTAGTCACAAGGGTTTTCAAGCCATTGCTGGGCTAAACTCACACTGTTTGTTGTGAGGATGACAGATTGTGCTTCTTCAGGCTTGTCTGCTGTGCAGACAGACCCTCCTGTTCCCCCTCTGTGCCCCACACACGTCCTGGGTGTATGGAGGGAAAAGCAGGGGCAGATTTCGTTCAGATTTGGGGTTTGGGTAAAGAGATTCTATACTGGAGCAGCATGAAAACCATTTCTGTCTCTTCTGTGAGTTCACCCCAACATGGGCAATGTGTGAGGGCTCCCAGCAGTGTCCAGCCAATGTCACCCTTTAAATCTGGAGCCTGAAGGACCCTCAGCTTTGCTCCCCTTTGTGCCTGGGTCACACTTTGTTGTGTGTATGGCAGGGCTGTAAAGTTTGTTCCTTCCAGAAAACAACCCCCCAAATCAATCTGTATTTTTGGGACAATTTTGGGGTGTGTGTATTGGATGAACTTCTGTCCTGATATTCCCTATTTATTGATACCCTGCTGGCAGTATCACCAGTCAAGTTTCAGGATCACCTGTCAAATGTCTGTGCTGTGCTGGGAGTTTGAAATACAGAAGTGCCAGTGTTTTAAAATGGTACTTATTTAACTTGGGTTATATAAAATAGAGATATAGAATGGGAAAACACAGCCAAAGCTTCTGGTAATTCCTTGGAGCAGCAGCAAAGTACTGGTTGGATTGGGTTGGATTATTGCAGGAAGAAAAGTGACAGATGCCCACCTGAACAGGGCACAAGAGGCTGAGCAAGTTCCAGGTTGCGCCCAGATCTCCCAAAGGGAAAAATCCATGCCAGGTATGGTGGATCCATGGTGGATTGTCAGTGTTCCATGGCTGGGGGGAGGGCTGTGGGAGAGGGGAACTTGGAACACCTGCAGGGAGGAGGATGCCTGCACACGTGGAGAACCTGTCCCCAGAAGGCATTGCTGGGGTCAGGGCTCACCCCAGGGCATGGGGATGGTTGATGATTTACAGCTCCTGGTGCAAATCTGCACTGAGTTTATCCAGCCTGCAGGAAGGCTGGCACAGTTCAGTGGTGCTCTGTAGCACACACCATGCATTTAGGAAATAATAAAGTTGTAATAACATATTCTTTTTACTTCATTTGATACAGGAAAAAAAGTCCAAACGTGTGTTCAAATCAAAAGGGGAAAAAAGGCTTTTTTCCTCTTTAGACGACAGATACAGCTTTACTTTATGGCAATTGGACAGGTAATGAGCCTTTTTCAATTATGCTATTCAAACCTTTTTTATATATTCTCCTTTAATTGTGTAACAAATTTGCAGTTCAGGATAATGTAAAATACGTGTTTCATCATCTGAACAGTCTCAATCAAACCCAAGAAAGATCTAGTAAGTATTTTTTTTGCAACAACCACATCTCTATAAAGTCCTGTGGAAGGATCAGAGAGTCCACACAGGAATAAACCACAGGAAAGGTCTTCTGAGTAGAGAAAGGGAGAGAAAGGAAAGAGACGAGTTCAGAAAGGAAAATATAAAAGGGAAAAGTTTCCCAAGCTTTTGCAGAACCAAAAAATGACAAATGTCCTTGTGTGTAGCTCCTAGAAATGAAAGATCTTATTTTATATTTGTAAATATTTACCTGTCCCAACCAGATAAATATGGTTTATAATCCAGGTGACGAACTAATAACAGGAGAGTTGCAGGAGTCCTGAAGCTCAGTCAAGTTAAAGGTTTTGACAAAGAGTTTAAACAAATCTTTTTGTCCATTCCAAAGAGTTCCAGAGGAGTTGATTTATTCCCAGTTGGCAGACAGGAGTCAGCTTATGAAGCCTTTTTAATTTAAACAGGGCCCCGATGTGATCGTTTGGTAATTGCTGGAGTAAAATTAATAATAAAAACAAAACATTGTGAAGAATCAAATCAAAGTCATTTTTTCTTCCATGACTCAATTTGGCTGTTTTTCCTGTTACTAATCTCCCTTTGAAAGGTGATGTTTTAAGGATTATAACTCCAAAATATTTTAATTTCTTAAGCTTGAGTCTGTCCTTCTTTGACCTACAGGCAAACTTAGTTTGCCAGGAAGCAGGACAGAACTAAAAATGCCTGGGAGCAGCACGTGGATGTTTTGCAGTTCCTGGTGAAAACTTGCAAGTTGTATCATCCATGTCATGAACGCTGTAGTTGGCTCCATGTCCTATTGCACTGATTTCACCTCTGTTTTAAGATGAGAGCAGCGAATTCTTGTTGCAGATTTTTGTTTCTTTTCATTTCTGGCAGACAGAGTTGCTTCTGTTCAGCACAGCCCTGCTCTTCTCAGGAGCCCACGAGACACGAGCATGGACTGTCCTCCTGGGCCCCTCCTGCCGTGCCTGTGTCCCAGTGCACGTGCTGTGGGCAGCAACCAGGGAGCTGGAGACACGAGTGTGCAGCCAGAAGGACAGCCTGGCCAGGGGTGCTGCAGTGCCCAATCCAAGGCTCCCGGGGTGCTGTGGTGGTGTTGAGTGGGAAAACCCTCCAGGCGGTGCTGGACAAGATCCCCCGGCAGCAAAGGCAGCTGCTCCATCTCCAGGGCACTCTCTCAATCCGGGGTTGCAGGAGCAGGATAAGGAATATCCCTGCACCTTGTTCCTTGTGGCAAGAGGCTCCATCCCTGTAGGAGCCTCCGTGAGCCCTGCTGGCTGGAGGCCGGAGGAATCCCGGGGGACAGGTCTCCCTTGTGCCCTGGAGCCGTGGGGATCAGCAGACCCCGCTCATCCCTGAGGATGCTCATGGCCAGGAGGAGACTGAGAGCAACAAGCCTGTTCCAGTGAGGCATTCCCAGGATAGAGTGGCACAGCAGCAAGTGTTGGTGCCCAATCCATGGCTCCCAGGATGCTGCCATATGGGAAGACCTTCCACGCGGTGCTGGACAAGATGCTGCAGTGGCAAAGAGAAGTGTTCCCATCTCCAGGCTCTCTCCTGATCCAGCTGTGGAGGAGCAGGATAAGGAATATCTCCACACCTCCATTACTCCTGGCAAGATCCTCCATCCTTCCCAGAGCCTCCATGGATAAGAGTCCCTGCTCCCGAGGAGCAGTGGGTATCTGCAGACCCCGCTAATCCAGTCCCAGTGGGAGCCCAGCCCATTCCATTCCTGGATTCCCAGGGGCAGGTGGCACAGCAGCAAATGTCCCAGAGCCACCAGTGCCAAATCCACAGCTCCCAGGATGCTTCCATATGGGAAAACCCTCCAGACATTGCTGGACAAGATCCTCCAGTGGCAAAGGCAGGTGTTCCCAACTTCACGGCACTCTCTTGATCCGGCTGTGGAGGAGCAGGATAAGGAAACCTCAGGAACTCAGTTACTTCTGGCAAGAGCCTCCAGGCCTCCCAGGGTCTCCGTAAGAATCTGCAGAATCCACATGGCAGAGCCCCCATGGACAGGTCCCCCAGGTCCCTTGGAGCCGAGGGGATCAGCAGACCCTGCCAATCCCTGAGGATGCAGAGGGCTGGGAAAAGCCTGGAAGGAACAAGCCCGTTCCAGTAAAGTGTTCCCAGGAGCAAGTGGCACAGCACTAAGTGTTGGTGCCCAATCCATGGACTCCCAGGATGCTTCCATGTGGGAAAACCCTCCAGACATTGCTGGACAAGATCCTCCAGTGTCCAAGGTGGCTTTTCCCATTTCCAGCTGTGGAAGGAGCGGGATAAGGAAAATCTCTGCACCTCTGTTGGTTCAGGCAGGAGCCTCCATCCCTCCCAGAGCCTCCCTGAGCCCTGCCAGGCTTCAGACGGATCAGCCCCCATGGATGGCACTCCCTGCTCCCCTGGAGCCGCGGGAATCAGCAGAGCCCGTTCATCCCTGAGGGTGCCCATGGCCAGGAACAGCCTGGGGGTAACGAGCCCATTCCAGGCTCCCAGCTGAGGCATTCCCAGGAGCAAGTGGCACAGCAGAAAACTTCCTGGGGGTGCCAGTGCCCAGTCCACGGCTCCCAGGATGCTGCCATGTGGGGAGACCCTACAAACAGTGATGGACAAGATCCCCAAGCAACCAAGGCAGCTGTTCCCATCCCCAGGGGCTGTCTCGACCCAGCTGTGGAGGAGCAGGATGAGGAATATCTCCACCCCTCAGTTACTTCTGGGAAGAGCTTCCATCCCTCCCAGAGCCTCCTGAGACCTGCTGGACTCCAGATGGATGAGCCCCCTGGACTTTTTGGTGGGAGAAATAGAACATTGCTCACAACATTCCACTATGACCAAATAAGGAACAACAGAATCTGGAAGAAATCCTGGAGGATTTATTGGATCAGGGATGTACCTGAAGCAACCAGGATGTCAGCTGAGCTCTGGGGACCCAGGGAAGATCAAACCCAAATGTTCCAGCCTTTGTGGTGAAAACCAGTGACACTGTGCCTGCTCAGAACTGAGGGCAACAAGGGAACACCTCAACTTTGGGGGGCACCAGACACAGAAAACCCCTCCAGAGACCCCCAAAGAAGACCCCAAATGACCAAATGGGTACTTGCAATAGGGGGGTGAGTGTGTAAAGCAAAGTAATGGGCATGTGTTGAGTAAGGGGGAATATCCAGTGCCTGTGGAATCAGTGTGTGATCCAAAACCCTGTGTGTGTCCCTGGGCAGGCTGGATGAGAGGAACTCTCCTCCAGGCCCCCAGCAGGCTGCACTAAAGAATTCCTGCTTCTTCCCCCCAACCAACTGGGCTGAAGGGCTTGGTTTCTGCTGCTTTTGGGCATCACTGCTGGCCCCCAGATGGGCCCCTGTGCCTGATCTCCCGTGGATCCCAGGGATCTCTGGATCTTCACAATGGCACCAGGACTTTCCTGGAGAAGAGCACAGATCCCTGGACCGGTCTGGGATGTGGGGAAAGTCCCATTGGATAATAAGGCATTCCTTTGGGAATGCTGCCCGTGTAAGATGTGTGGATCTTCCAATGCTTTGGGGGGTTATTTGGTGTTCCCCAATTTGGTCTCTGGCTTTGTTTTATCCACTGATCACTGGTTTGTGTTTGTCTTTGTTTCTGCACTGTAACATCTGCACAAGTGGGTTCTGGGTCCAAAACTGACCCCATTTGTACCAGCAGTGAGTCAGCAGTGTGGGGAGTGTGAGAGAAACAATCCAAACCCTGCCAGTGGGGTGGGAATAGGGGATGGAAATTGTGGAAATGTTCCAGGTGAATGTTGGCAGATGGATTGCACTGAACTGCCCAGAGAAGGGGGGTATAAATATCTCCTGGTCTCGGGGGTACCTTCTCTGGGTGGCCAGATGTTTTTCCTTGTGGCACCAACCAGGCTAGGGAAGGGAGTGGAATCCTGTTGAATCCAGGAATCCCTGGATTTGGGGTACCTTTGGGAAGGTCACCGGACAGAGGTTCCCACTGGACTGCAGAAACAAAATGCTTCAGTCTTGTTTTGCTCTTCTGATGCAAGTTAAAACACTCTTGACATGGGGGGAAAATTTACATCTCATTTTAGTACCAAATGTGACCCCAGAGTTGCCTACAAGTGCATGGATAAAGTGAGCAAGAATATCTGCTGAATGTGTAAATGTGTGTGGAATCAAAAGCCCTGTCTGTCTGTCCCTGAAGTGGTGAGGCCTGAATTACAGGCCCTGGGCCCAAACTGACCTCTCCATGACCCTTCCAAGCTGATGTTCTGTTTATCCGTGTACCACTCATCAGCTGAAGCTGTGTCTGTCTGTGAGTAAAAGATGGAGTGTGATAAGGCTGCAGCTTATCAACAAAATGTGTTAAAATCTGCTCATCAACAAAATGTGTTAAAAGCTTTTTAGTGAGCCATGTTAGTATCTGCTCAGTACTGAACACTCTTTGTACCTGTTCATTGGTGAAATCTGTGTGATTGTCAGCAAGGTCTGATCTTTGTGTGTGTAGATCCTGGTCAAGGCCCTGGAAGTGATACCTGGCCTTGTCTGGCAGCAGATGGGGCAGGTTGTGACTCCCTTGGCTTGTGAGAAATAGAACATTGCTCACAGCCTTTCACAAGGGGCAAATAAAGAACAATATTATCTTGGAGAAGTCCTGGAGGATTGGATCAGGGATGTACCTGAAGCAACCAGGATGTCAGCTGAGCTGTGGGGACCCAGAGAGGATCAAACCCAGATGTTCCAGCCTTTGTGATAAAAAACACTGACACTGTGCCTGCTCAGAACTGAGGGCAGCAAGGGGACACCTCAACTTTGGGGTCAACAGACACAGAAAACCCCACCAGAGACCCCCAAAGAAGACCCCAAATGACCAAATAAGGACTGGGGATAGAGGGTGTGAGTGTGTAAAGCAAAGTACAGTATTTGTGTGAAGGGAGAATATCTAATGAGTGTGTAAATTGTGTGTAATATAAAGCCCTGTCTGTCTGCCACTGAAGTGCTGAGGCTGAACAGGCCCTGAGCAAAGTTGGCCTCTAGAGATCCAACCTGATGTTCTATTTATCCCTCATCAGCTCAAACTATGTGTGTTTGTGAGTAAAAGATGTAGTGTGAGAAGACTACACTGTGTGTCTGCTCATCAACAAAATGTCATTAGTAAGATGTATTAATATCTGCTCATTAGTGGATACTGTTTGTGTCTGTTCATTAACAAAATGTGTGTGATTGTGAGCAAGGTGTGACCTTTATCTCCCCGTGTTTGGGGGCTGGTGAAGGCCGTGGCAGTCGATGTCTGGCCTTGCTTGGCAGCAGATGGGACAGATTGGCTCCCTGGGTTTGCCCCTTCAGGCCTGGCCAGGCTTTGGGTGGGACCCAGGAGGAGAAGGGAGTGTAATAAGTAGTAGTAGTTAAATTTAGTCATCAAATTATTAGTAGTAGTTTACTCATTAAATTATAGTGCATGTTATATACATATATATGGTATTATAATCAATGTTCTGTTAAGATTGGGAGACTGTAAGTTACAGAATGGTTAAGCTAATAGCCATGCAGCTTGCAATTCTTAAGCTGGAAAGACAAATTATTGTGTTTTACTGAATAAGTATTTTGTATCTTACTTTTATAAAAAGCTTATTGTCTCACAACACGCATAAAGTAAAGGAAAGAAGGACAAGGAGCAAAGAGTCAGGAACTGAAACGATGCAGAGTATCCAAGATGGACACCTAGAGATGCCAGCACACGAGGCCTCAAGGTCTAAGGACTGATTGAAACTATGGACAGGAAAGCACCTGGCAACTAAAACAGACTTGCAAAGAAACCAACCAGAACCAGACCTGCAAACTGAGATCCAATGGAAGGAGAACAAGTAACTATGGGAGGGGAACTGATAAGGGAATAAAAGTTACTATTTTTGCCTACTGCACTTGCGGGCTGTGAGTGGAGCAGGAGACTCCCCGGCCGCCCAGCATGCTGTTTTGCTTATTTGCATTTTCTATAAATCTTCAATAAATTTTTATTACTATATTTCAACTCAGTTTCATTTTACTTATAACAGGGCCACTGTGACATTACAGGGCTTAAGGGAGCCAAAGGAACTGAGGGACAGTGACAACCTTATGAAATAGTGGGGTCATTGTGACACTGCTAAAACCCACGAAATCAGGAGGCCGTTGTTACCCTGGAAAACCTCATGGAATCAAGGGGCCATTGTGACACTGCAGGGCCTCCTGGAAACCAAGGAACACAGGGACACTGTGGAATCTCCTGGAACCAAGTGGCCATTAAACACTTGGGGCCTTGTGAAAAGAGAGGAACCCTGAAACATTTTGGAACCGGATGGATCCAAGCAGGCATTTTGAAACTGCAGGCCCTCAGAGGAACTGTAGGAACCCTGGGATATAATGGAAGCTCCTGGATCTAAGGGGCCATTGGGACACTGGGGAACCTCTGGGAATGAAGGGGCCACTCTGACACTGAGGAACCTTTTGGGCTCAAGCGGCCACTGTGACACTGCAGGGCCTCAGAGAAGCCAAGGAACCCTGGGACACTGTGGAATCTCCTGAAATCAATGGGCCACTCTGATGCTGCGGAACCTCCTGGAACCAAGGGCTCATTGGAACCCAACCGGGCCTCCTGGAAGCAAAGGAATGCAGGGACACTGTGGAATGCCCTGGAACCAAGGGGCCATTGAGCCTGCCCAGCACTCCATGGAATCAAGCAGAGCCGCTGCCTCCCCCCCGCCGCCGCACGGACCGGAGTCACCGGCTCTGCCCCGCTTGGACCCCTCTGGAGTCAGCGTGTTCTTGGGCAGCACAACTTAGCTCAGACCACAGAGTTTCCCAGAGTTTGCTTTGCCCCCTCTTTCCCGGGAGTTTGGTTTTTGTTCTTTGTTTATTCAGGTGTAAAAGAGGGAAGGGAGGCACGTGTTGATCCCTGTTTTGATCTGTTTACAAAAGGGAGTTGGGGCAGGGGGGAGAGAGGAGGCAATTTCTCTCTCTGCTGTTGCTTTGAACTGTTCTGTTGGTATTGCTGGTTTTGCTGCTGTATTTCTTGTCAGTGAACTGTTATTTTTTTCACTTATACCTCCTTGTATTTTTTCTCCTTGTATTGGTGGGGAATAAAAGGGGAGTGAGTTCATTTTATTGGAGTTCCCTCCCCAAGATGTGTCTTTAAACCAGGACAGGTTGCTCAAGGGCTCCCTGAAATTTGGCATCATTCACAAAGGACTTGAAAACACCTTTATGTCCCATTGTACAGAGAGATAATAAAGATGTTCTCTAGTGGTGTTCAAGGGCTGGTCAGGGAGGGATTTCATCAGGAAGTTGCTGCCAAGAGGACTTTGTACCATGGATTTTATTTGACACTCTTCAGTCCAGCTCTCACCAATCTGGCTCTAAGGAGACCACAAGAGACCATGTCAAGGGCCTTGATAAAGTCTGGGTACACAACATCCCCTTCTTTTCCCTCCCACAGGAGTTCTGCAATCCCTGCCTTGTCCTTGCCATGCCTGGCAATGGCTGCAGGAGGACTTGCCATGTCCCTTTCCCTGCTGAGCCTGAGCAGTCTGGAACTCTGCCAAGCCTCCTTGCTGCCCTGTTTGCAGACTGGTTCCATGTCTGCCTTTGCCAAGGCCCCAGGAACCTCTGGGATGGCTCTGGCCTTTGTAAGGGTTTGGGAGAGGTCTCCCAGTGACACTGCCCAGCCCTCTCAACATCCCTGACACCAACACCTTTCCAATAGCCCACACTTGCAGAGGACTGCCCAGGACACAACACAGATTGTCATGGTGGTTCTGGAGAATTAGAAGTGATTTCTTCTTTAAGGCCAAACACTCCCATTGGATTTCAGTGCAGCTGAAAGATTCCCTCAGCATTTTCCCCAGTGCTTCCCTGCCCTGAAGGTTTCTGGCCATCAGGCTGTAGCTGAGGGGCTTGGGCAGGGCCATGAGGAGGGGGTAGAACAAGGGCTGTGTCCAACTCTGCCAGGAGGGCTGTGCTGGGCAAGGAGGAGGAGGCTGCAGCAAACAGTGGCACTGCTGAGCTGAGAGGAGCAGGGGGAGAGATCTTGTGCCTGCCCACGCTGGGCAGGAGCTGGCCCAGGATGGCAGCTCTGAAGCACTCCCAGCATGTCCCTGGCAACAGCAGGGGAAGACTGGATCTAAAAATCAGGCTGGGAATGCAAAGAGCAGGAGTTTCCTGGTGTCACTGCAGGAGAGTTCCAGCCCTTCAGCAAGGGCACAGAAGAAGTGACCCAGTCCATGCAGTGCCCTCAGAAGATCCCACAGCATCCTGTAGATGCTGTCAGGGAGGCCAGCTCTGCTTCACAAGTTCCCACTGCCTGTCCCTGCCTGTGCTCAAAGGCCTCCCACCCCCAGGACTGTGCTCAGAGAGCACTCAGGCCTTCCAGCGAGAAAGGGGCTCACAAGGACAGTGTGAAAGTGGAAAGAGCAGCTCTGCAAAGACCAAGCTCTGCTGCTCCCTGTCAGTGCTGCTGTGCTGGGATTCTTGTCCCCTTGCCCTTTGCAAATCCCCCTGTCCTGCAGTGTGCTGTCCTTTAGGAACAGCTAAGAAGAAGGGTCTTGGACAAAGAAGGCACTGCAGGGTCCTTTATTTTGTTTAAATACTCAGAGAGCACAATTCATCATTTATACATCTCTGGGTCAAATTCAATGGGTAGACACTAAATTAGAAGGCAGATGCATAATAATATTTAATTGCACAGAAAATTATTGCAAGAAGAACCCGATGACCTCCACGAAAAACCTGAGCAGGAAGGCTGGGCCATTAAGAGTCTCCTTCTGAATGCTACACACCAGAACACAGGCACTTTATTGCTCCTGAAAAGCATCCAGTCATCATTTTCCTTAGGGCATCCTTGAGCTCCTGGTTCCTCAGGCTGTAGATGAGGGGTTCAGTGCTGGAGGCACCACCGAGTACAGAACTGACAGGGCCAGATCCAGGGATGGGGAGGAGATGGAGGGGGCTTCAGGTAGGCAAATGAATGCAGGTGCTGAGGAACAGGGAGACCACAGCCAGGTGAGGGAGGCACGTGGAAAAGGCTTTGTGCCGTCCCTGCTCAGAGGGGATCCTCAGCACAGCCCTGAAGATCTGCACATAGGAGAAAACAATGAAAATGAAACAACCAAACACTAAACAGGCACTAACCACAATAAGCCCAAGTTCCCTGAGGTAGCCTGAGTGTGAGCAGGAGAGCTTGAGGATCTGAGGGATTTCACAGAAGAACTGGCCCAGGGCATTGCCCTGGCACAGGGGCAGGGAAAATGTATTGGCTGTGTGCAGCAGAGCATTGAGAAACCCAGAGGCCCAGGCAGCTGCTGCCATGTGGGCACAAGCTCTGCTGCCCAGGAGGGTCTCATAGTGCAGGGGTTTGCAGATGGCAACGTAGCGGTCGTAGCACATGATGGTGAGGAGGAAATACTCTGTTGAGATGAAGAACAGAAAGAAAAAAGCCTGTGCAGCACATCCTGTGTAGGAGATGGTTGTGGTGCCCCAGAGGGAGTTGTGCATGGCTTTGGGCACAGTGGTGCAGATGCAGCCCAGGTCTGTGAGGGAGAGGTGCAGCAGGAAGAAGTCCCTGGGGGTGTGCAGGTGCTGGTCGCAGGCTATGGCGCTGAGGATGAGGCCGTTGCCCAGGAGGGCAGCCAGGGAGATGCCCAGGAAGAGCCAGAAGTGCAGCAGCTGCAGCTCCCGCCTGTCTGAGAATGCCAGGAGCAGGAACTGGGCCATGGAGCTGCTGTTGGGCATTTGCTGCTTCCTCAGAGTGTTTTCATCTGTTGAGGAGGAGAAGTCAATGCTGAGTTAGACCAGGCTGCTGCAGCCAAACAGGACACGTCTCACAGCCACCCCACTCTCAGGCTCTCTCTCCTCACTCAGACCTCCCTGCAGCTCCCTCCCTGAGCTCTGGCTGTTGCTGCCTGAGGGGACCACTGAGCCAAAGGAAGGACTGAGCTGGGGAATTCTTTCTGGTTGTTCCCCCACTTGCACCTGCCTCAGTTAGGAGTGGTTGTGGATGTTGGAAATCCCTGACATACTCATTGCACTGTAGGTCAAGTCCTGTGGGTTCTGAGGGCACAGGGACAGTCCCTCAGTGCAAACAGAAGAGCTACTCTGCCCATCAGTCTGTGCTCAGCTGCCCTGTGCTGGCAGCTTGGAGCTGCAGGAGCATC